CAGGCTGATCTAGAACTCAGTCACCCTCCTGCCTCAGCCTCCCAGGTGTTGGGATTACAGCATACACCACCACACCTGGCATATATGTTTTAACTAGAAGAATACACATAAGTATTTTAAAGATTAGCACATTTGTAGTACATATTTATATTCCACATGTGGAAGTGGTACATGTACATGTCTTAATTCCTTTTTTTCCATCCCTTCCACCCCCTTGCATCTCTTGATCCTCTTCATGTTAGAGAAAAATTTATCTTCCTATTTCTTGTTATGTTTTATTTTGGACTTTAATTATAATCTGTGTTTCTCTTATAAGAGAAGCCATGGGATATTTAAGCTTATAAATCTGATTTATTTCACTTAACATTACGGTCTTAGGAATATTTTTTTCCATAATTTTACTGATAAACAAATAGCAATGAGAGTCTTAGGCATATTTACTTTCCTACAAATGACTCAAGTTTATCTTTCTGTATGTCACGGTAACTCCACTGTGTCAATATTACATTTTTCTAAGAGATGAGAATATTGTTAAATACAAATTTTTTGGCAAGTGGTTCCCAGTGACTTAAAAGTAATTAATAGGTTTTTTTTTTTAAGCATAGCAAGAATTGCAGTAAACTCTGGTTTCACATTTAGAGAACTTTTTAATATTTATATTCTACAATTAGTTCTTTTTCAAAAACAGGATCTTTTAGTCACAAAGTAATAAATTAAAATCAAGTTCTGAATAATTTCTCTTCTTTAGGATTTAAAGAAACCAGTGAGGATAATAAAATACATGTCAAAGTACACACTGAAGTATCAAATGAATATATTCTCTTGTAAAATTTAGTTTTCGCCTTAAGTAGTCTTCAGAACAACTCACCCATTCGAACCACAGGACAACTTTTTTTGCATTCCTGTCGACATTTCTTAGGTTTACATTTGTCATGGTTGACAATAGCAATTCTTGTCAATTTGTCTGCCATAACTGTAAAAGAGAATATCCAGCTTTTCTATTAAAGAAAAGTTCACAGAATTATAGGAAGTTCAAAGTGATTAGTTAAGAGAAATAACACATGAAATACTAAGGCTATGAAAACAAAATTGTATATACATACACTTTACACAGAAGATTTATATAAGAAAAATGCCACCTACAATAGTAAAAAGAAAACATCTGGGAATATACTTGATATATATGAAGGAAATAACTTTCAAAACTACTAAATAACATAAAAAATCAAATCAATAAAATGAAATGCTATCTCAGGTTTTACAATGAAGAACGGTCAATACCAGAGATTTTAATCTTTCCTGAATTAGCACAAGTTTTCTAATCCCATGGGAAAAATAAAAAAAAAAACAAACAGGAAAAAGAATAGCCAAGAAAATTGAAAAAGAACAAGCACGGAGAATAGGTCTAACAGATTTTTAAAATTACATAAGATCTCAGTAATTAATATTGATACCTATATAAATGTGGGCCACGAAGATAGAACGATGAGACATAAAAATTAATACATATGTAATAAAGATATTTGCTCTTCCCCCGTACTAAGCAATATAACATATATTATCCAGCTAACTATAGTGGATGCTGCTGATGAAAATGGCAAATAAATAGGAAGAAAAAGAAAAGTACAAATAAAGCTGGACGTAGTGCCTGCCACATTCCTATAATCTACAACATCTTCTACACAGGCGAATGGCTCCAAGTTGGAGGCCACTTTGGGCTACACAGTGACTTCAAGGCTAGCCGGAATTGCATAGCAAGACCCTGTCTCACAAAACAAAAAGAAAAACAAACAAAAGGCAAATAATTATTAAGGTTGTGACTATCATTCTGGTCAAATAGAAAAGTAAAAACTGTAAAAAATGCAATTCCCTGGGAACTTGTGATATGGCTAGAGAGTTTATGCTAATAGCAATGAATAATAATAATTAAAGCTTTGTTAAGTCTTAATGTATAATAGCTATGTAACATTAAAGTCCACATAAAAGTTAAAAATCTTTCCCAATATTAGGCTCAGGGCATAGTAAGGTCAATAATCCCAAGAAGTATCTTATGTTCTATTCAAATACGTAACTAAGGAACCTGAGATCAAAGACTATCCGTTTACAAAGGCATTCTGGTTTTTTTTTTTTTTTTTTTTTGACTTCCATGTTTTGGGACAGACTGCTCCCCACTGCAGACCTCTCAAAGCTTTTTCACACCTATTAATATGATTGACTTGGATGGGATGCCACTTGTTCCTTAGTGCAGTTCTAGATTATTCTCCCTTCTCCATTCTGAATTATCCAGCTGCTTTAGTCATTTATTGGCCAGCAGAATACTTCCTTTTATTCTTTCATGATTTCAGAGCTTGGGCTAATTTTCATCTTTTTTTTTTTTTCATTTGTTTACAACTTCTGATATAGTTCTTTGTAATTTCAATATGCTCACAGATAATCATTCCATTAACAGCTTGTCCACCTAGTTTCTTGACTCTTCTACTTTAATCACAGACACTCATTTCTTTGGTTAAATGCCAGACCTTGTATTACCACTGATTGTAATCCTTTACAAACTCAATTTTCAAAACCCTATCCTCTGATCACCTCTCCTACCTTTTCAGCTCAGTCTCCTAGAACACAACAAGCCATAAACTTTCTGATCCTACTGTTCTACATTTTGTCTCTCAGCCCTTGGTATTTTCAATTCCCTAGTTATCCAGCTAAAATTAGATTGCTAATCATCTCTACTCTCAACTATAATATTAGTTAAATCAATTTCTCCACCTGCACAGATGCAGCTGAAAGTGGGTAGAACCACTACCTATGTGGGAATGCTTTCAGCAGCCTCCTGAACCCTGGCGATATGTACCTTATTCAAATGAGCACACAGTGTATAACTTACGCACTTGCTTCTGCATATTCTAAGTCATATATAGATCATTCACAATGACTAATACAATATTTATACCACATTACAGGGAATGACAAAAATGATATGCAATATGCACAGAGTGTAAATATTTTCCAAATATTTTTGATCTACAGTTGGTTGAATCTGCAAATGTGGAACCTATAGACACAGAATCCTCAGATGTAGATGGCCAAATGTATATATTTCCCTAGCAAAAACTATTTCATGCTAGAATATAGTTCCTAAGAGGGCTGTTTGCAAAATTCTATCTTTCAAATCATCAGTCATTTTATTGGTTCACCCCTATCAGCAGTCAAGCATTCTGTATTATCTCTCATTTTCCACTTTTCCTTTTTAAACACTGTATTAAAGAACAGTTTATACTCAAGTATCTCAAATTTTACTCTATTCTGGCTCCCACTCTAACCCTTATAGCTCATCATTTCATTCAAGCAACTTGTCATGCCATGGCTGCCTTACATAGCTAAATCAAGTGGTTCATAATATTTATCAGGTAATTAGTAATTATCCAACTTAACTGACCTGACCAATCTATTGCCTTTGACACAAATTTTGACTACTACTACTAAAGATTCTTTCATAACTTGGTCATAGGACAAAACACCAACCTGTTTTTTTCCCCTACTTTCCTGGTCATTCCTCATTTCCTGGGCTTCTAAATGTTGAGAATGCAGTAAAACTCAGTGTTGTTTTTGTAAAAAATCAATTCATTCTCCAATGTTCTATTCGTATCTCACTGTTTTAAATCTTATTTTTAGGCTACAAACTCCCAAATAATAACATTATTTATTTATATTTTGATTTTTGAAACAGGGTCTTGCTGTATATTTTAGGCTGGCCTTGAACTGTGTAGCCCAGGATGATCTCGAACTCATGGTTATCTTTCTTCCCCAGTCTCCTGAGTATTGGGATTATAAATGTATGTTTGTAATATACCACGCCCAGTCTTAAGCTCCAAAACTGTGAGTTCTAGTGGGAACACCTCTCTCTGGGACTCTAAACTTATACACCTATTTATCTAGCTACAAAACATCTGAGAGGTGGTGCTGAGATCCCGCATCTCAGACTGACATCAGACCTAGGCCATCCTATCAAAAACTTGCATGAGTTCTTACAAGGTCATATGTAAGGCTTTGGGAACTGTCCTACACATGTGTTTTGAGACCTTGCAATTAACAGGTCATACCTACCTCCATAGCAGCTTTGCTACACTTTAATCTCCTATGTTGGTTTCTAGGTTCATTCTGTCCTAAGCATATAACTGGTCAAGACAAGCATTAATGGTAGCAAAGATTGTTCTGCAGAGCAAATCTGCACTAAAAGTAGGGAAAAGAAGTATATTCTACATCATGAGGATGGGCCATCATGCCAGAGAATAGTGGCAAAAACAAAGTGAACTGACCTTTCTAGTCACCCATTCTGGAGACTAATGTAATGTCTCAGTAATCCTATCAAAAACCTGTTCAAGGCCAGGCATGGTGGGCTGCCTGTAATCCCAGCACTTGGGAGGCGAGGTAAGAGGATCCTTACAAGTTAGACCATCCTAAACTACAAAGTAAGCTCAAGCCCAGACTGACTGAAGAGGGAGAATCTGTCTCAGAATGACAAAATGAAACAAACAACCCCATTCAAGTTCTCACAAGACCTCACCAGGCAAAACTTTGTTCTTTGTGTATGTTCTGGAATCTTGTCATGCTTCTTTTCCCATCCAATGGTATCCATACCTTACCCTCCTATCTTAACACAGACAGCCATGTTAACTCTATCTGGATTCTCATGTCATTTATCATCATGTATTGCATGTGGCAATGTGAGAACATACTGGAAACTTGTAAGTTCACTTTTATGAAGGAGCATTAGCTAAAAGGTTGTGGCAATCAACACTCTGAGTGATACTCTGAGCATTTGGAGACAATACATTAAAGAGGTTTGCAGCCGGGAGGCATGAACAGATGGTCATGGTCCTTCCTCTTTAGGCTCAAGACTGTGCTACCCCACTATGGTTTATTCCTTTGCTTTACACCAGTATTTGTTGCACTGGAATGTACCACAGGAATGACCAACTGACCAGGATTGTAAACTCAGCACCAGTAACAAATTAAAAGGACGGAATGTAAAAAAAAAAAAAAAGGAAGAACATTTTATTTGTAAGGAGAAAAAAAAAGCAAACAGGAAGTTATTCCATGTGAGGTGAGGGCTGGAAGATGATAGATTCCCATGGGTTCTTTTTCTCTGACTCCTTTTAACAGGTGATAAGGACCTTTCCTCCCAAGTTGGTACCTGGATCTTGTCACAACCTGATTGGCTCTGTGGACTGTCATAGTGGATCCCAAGCCACAAGACCTTAAAACTTAAGTGCCATTGCCTATGTACACATCCCTAAGTGGGCTTTGTTTGATTTCTTCTTCCTGCTTGGATGGAAGGGTCTTCTTTCTGAGATTTATAGGTTGGTTAGGAGGAACCTTAAGGACAAAGTTGCTTGGAGCTATTGATTAGGTAGGGAGATGAATATGTATCTAATGCAGCAATATAGTAGCCCTAGAGTGAGAAAATACACTTATTTAAGTAAGAGTTTTCCTTAGGTAAATTGCCCTTTTTCTTTTTTACTTTAATAGTGACAAAAGGGGCTACTGGTCTTGGTTTCCTAAATCTGGCTTACTGGATTTTAACTCTTTTTAGGCAGGATTTGCCTGAGAACCTAATAAGGCCTTCATGTTACTCTTTCTCTGCACATTTCCTCTACACATTTATGAGCTAACTACATAATATAAATATATTTAATAAGTCTTTGAGTTAAAATCAGGAGATTTCTTAAACCAACCAACCAACCAACCAACCAACCAACCTTCCTTTTATGTCTAGTAGGAATCTCTCCAAGTGAGCTTCTTCAGCAGTCTTTCATGCTGTTAAAAGGCTAGCCAGCCTCCACTTACTCAGGCTAAAACTGATGTTATCTATTTTATTTCCCCCAAGTGTAAATCCTACTGAATTTACCTTCAAAGTACACTTAGAATCTAACCATTTCTCATGACTCTAGTATGAGCCACCTACATCATTTTTTAACTGTATTACTCTGATTTCTTTTACCTTTACCTCCTCTAGTCTAACCTTCAACAGTATTCATAGTAGTTAAGACTACATAATACTTTCAGATAGTAAATCAAATCATCTCTCTCTTCTACTTAAGGTTGCAGTGTTGTCCCTTCCCAGTATGAGTAAAAACCAAAATCCTTCAAGTTAACAACTAGGTACTTCTCAGTCTCTGTAATTTTCTGATCTGGTCTCCAACTATTCTAGCTCTTGTTCTACTGGCTCCAGCCAGATTGACTACCTACTGCTCCTAGCATGCACCAGGTATGTTCTTACTCTGGGGTTTTGGCAGTTTTCTTCCTTTTGTAACATTGTTCTCTCTACAAGGTAACAATCCTTCAAGTTAGTTAGGTTAGTCCTTCAAGTTTTTACTGTTTCTTAGGGCGTCTTCTCTATAATCAATTGCCTTTTTATTCCCCTTTCTTGGTCTGCTTTTTCTCCTTACTTCTGTATTTCATATATATATGTTTTAAATTTATCACACATTTATATTTGTATTTTCTCTCTACATATTTTTCATCTCCTCCAAATAGAATGTGTTCCATCATCACAAGGAAAAGAAATTTTAATTAAAGACAAGACTATGAAATACAACAAATACTGTTGAATTCGTATTATTTTTAGTGAAATTCTGTATCATTTCTAATTTATTAACATTTTGTATTCTCTTTAAAAACTGAAAGAATGAATATGAGGCATTAAAAAAAAAGAAATTTTGAATTTTCTTCAGCTACTGGCTACACCATTACATAGCATATACTAGGAGCAAAAACAATTGTTAAATAAGAAAACAAATTTCAATACAGTACATAATTTTCTTCTAGGTTATAACCATCTCCAGAAGTTTGCATGCTATCAATATTTTATGACAGTTTTCCAATAAACTATATACTGGAATGAAAGAATTACCCAGAGGAAACTATATAGTTCTGTAATAAACAAAACTATGTTAACACATGGGTTCATTTTACTCTTTTGAATACTGGTCCAGTTCTTGTAAGGAAGGGAAGGACAGAATTTTTCATCTTAGAGGAAAAAATTGACTTTAATTACTACCAAAAAAAAAAAAAAAAAAAAAAAAATCATCCTAGACAGTGGCAACTTCCTAAAAACTAATAAAACTTGATACTATACAGTCAGTTTAAATGCTAAATGCCTCTTTACAATTACCTTGTGGTAAATCCTAGCAGGAAAAATAGAACTTCTATAAATTTACTGAAATGTTTCAATTTTTCAAACTATTCTAAAAATGAAGAAACTTGTAAAAAGATGTTTTTTTCTAATGCAGGAATAAAAACATGCCAAAGGTGGCTCAAAAATGGATTTAGTGAAAAACAATAATGCATTTAAGAAAAATGAATGGATTCTTTTGTACAACTGTTAATTAACCATAAAAACATGGTTAGTTCAATGTTTATATTATTTTCAAGGATTAGGGAAAAAGAACTTCCTACTGTTTTGGTTTTTAATCATTTATTTTAGTACAGGGTCTCAATGGCAGCTTGGACTTGTAGTGATCTTCCTGTCTCAGCTTCCCCAGCACTAGGATTATAGGCATGTGCCACCATGCCTGGCTTCAGTGGCTGCCACAGTGCACCTGGGGTTCTGGGACTGGCACAGCATGCAGTACAGAGAACAGAACCCAGATACTTGTGCTTGCCAGGCAGGCCCATAGACTGCTGAGCTACCTCCCCAGCTCCCTACTTTTTATTTTATTAAAAAAATCTTTAAAAGAGTAAAGCTTGTTGGGAAGATTACATGACCATCAAAATCATCATAATATTGCATTAAAGCATTTAAAGACTGCTGTTACTTAATAATGCATGATATCACATGATGCAGTCTAACCTATGCTCACTATTGACTATGAGCCTTATAAGCCATAAGTTTGGAGAGATGCAAGGCTTTGATTTTAGTGGATCTCCTTCCTCGGCCAATTGTTAAATACTGTTCTATAAAAAATTAAGTATAAGAGAGCAAAGTTTTAAATTAAAAAATCAACCCTCCTACACCTTTTGGTTTAAATACAACTCGAAGCCTTCCCTCGTATTGAAAGTATTGCTGCTGGTAGGTGGCTGGTACAAAATGAATGTCCTCAGCATACAAGACTAATGACTGCATAAATGCCATAAGCATTACTGTCTTGTCAGCGGTGTGGTGCAAAAGGGGGTGAAAGGAAAACAAACTGTTTTGACAGTTATTCTTTAATCACTGATTCACTGTCAAAGGAGAAAATTACTTACACAGTTCTTGGGACGTGGGCTTTGCCCAGCATTCATTCACGTAATACTAAGCACATACAATGTAGAAAACTCTGAATTTAAATCCAAAGATATTTTGAATAAAAACACTACCCTTGATCACAAGAAGTTGAAGGTATTATAAAGTAAAAAAGGTCACCAGGCAAAAACGTGTGGAGTGTCATCAAATTGACTCCCTACGCTGTAAGCATTTAAACTGGCAAACTACTTGAGGTAACTGCAATCACAGCCAACTACACGTTGCTTTATGAGAAAAATCATAACAACGTTTGCCCATCATTTCTATAAAGCCTGGGAGCGGACTAGCAGGATTCGACTTCATGGCGGCAAGATGCCATGACTCATGCCACAATCACCAAAAGGTAGAAGAAAAACCACAACTTCCCACAATCAAATACGGATAATCCGTAGCACATCCATTTTACTGTAAGGTCAGCCCAGCAGTTTGGAGGATGCTCGAAGTTGTGAAAACCTTCTCCAGTGAGTTAGCTCCAGGGCTGGAGCAGGGGAGAGGTTCGTGCTGGGGCGATGGCTCCCTAGGACTATTCTCGCAGAGCAGGTTGGGGATGAACAGTAGGACCGAGCGCCAGGATAGTGAGAGAAGCGTGAGAAGCCCGCGAGTCCAGGGCGCCGCCCGCGCTCTGGCGACTCCAGCTGTCCCGCCGGCGCCGGCTGCCACGCGCCGCTGCAGTCTGCCCCGCCACCTCAGGCCTAACCACAGGCTGTTGAAGAACATCCCCATGGTCTTTCCACAGTGGCAGGCAGCAGCTAAAGGCCAACCCCTTCCGCCTATTCACCTACCTGGAGAAAACGATCCCCTTGTGGTGTGGAGCACAGAGGCCACAGGAGATCTTGCCTTCCAGTCTCAACCACACAGCGTGTTCCTACAGTCACCGGCCAAAATGGCGGTAACCAGTCGGCGCCTCGCGCAAGCCATAGGGCATAGTGCGCGTGCGCGATAGAGCGCGAGACGGAGCCCTGGAGGTAGAGGACTTGTCTGACGTCATCGTGCTGCGACTCTCAGTATACGTCATCGGAGAAGCCAGGCGGTGCTTAGGAGCTGAGTGTGAGTGAGGCGTACCTGCTGAGGTTCCTGAGATCCTGAGACGTGGTAAGCAGGCCTGGAGTCTGTAAGTGCGCTTTCACCCAGCACAGAGAGGGGCACTAGTGTGAGTACATGCCTTCTCGCCACTTCAGTCTCTTATATTCCGGGCTGGTGGGCCAGGTATGGAGCCTAAGTTATTCTGTCACACCTGGGGGTCAGGCGGAACCGACCCAGCGTATTTTGACAGTGTCTTTAACCTCGGTTTTCTGTATTGTGTGGTCAGTTCTTCGAGACCAGCAATCTGGTCTTCGAGCTCTGTATTTTATCCACTTGGTGGCGTCTAGCCCCAAGTCCGACGGTTGAATTCTGCCCAATGTGGAGATGATTTCATTATGTATTTTTAAACTATTAGGCCGTTCGGTTTGTAATGACGGCTACAGGCTTAGTTTATGGCTGGACCCAGCCTTTTAGTCATTCAATAAATTACTTATTAAGCATTTAAGTCTCAGGCCTGGGTGAAGCCTACAATCCATTGCTTCTACTTTTACTTTAATGACCAGTGTTTGTGTGGCAGCGTGGGAACATTTAGGATATAATGGGAACTGTGAAAGAGGTGGTATATAGAACTTTTGGACCTGTTTAGCATTTGAAATAATGTTCTGTAACGCTAACTGCTCCACCAATGCAGTTTTACATATTCTTCACTGCCCCAGAAGTATTTTTCACATTTGCATAGATTGACAAACATTAACCAAAGATATATAACAAGTAGTATGAGTGATACATTTTTCTATTTTTAAAAAACTTTTTATAGAAAGATACTCAGATTCCAGCATAATGTGCATATTCTTTCTTTCTATATAGAATATTTTAAAAATGACCACGCCAAATAAGACACCTCCTGGTGCTGACCCTAAGCAGTTGGAAAGAACTGGAACAGTAAGGGAAATTGGGTCACAAGCTGTTTGGTCACTCTCATCTTGCAAACCAGGTAAAGCAAAACAAAGCCAAAACACTGTTCATAATAATTACCTACAATAACCTTATACACTGGATTAACTTTAATATTCTTCCTGTTTAGATGCTTCATTTTAGTTCTGATGAACTGGATTGTCATTTATTGTATATCTCTGCCCAATTTTTGTATTTATAGCTGGTTAAATTTGACTTTGTAAGTTCCTCTCCCTGTATCTCTGCCATAATTAAGTTATTTAATTGGGATTTTTTTTTTTTTTTCTGGCTGTTTCCCAAGATAGGATAAGGGAATGGTACATTTTTTGATTGATTATACAATGGTACTTTGGCCCACAAATTTAATTCTTTCCGTGATGCTGGTCGCATACCAAATTGGACAAGACCAAAATCAAATTTCCCCATAAGATCACGTTGAACCTAACCAGTGAATTTGATTCAGTTCTTGTCCAATTTGGTTTGCAACCAGAATGATGGAAAGAATTTAAGTTTGTGAGCTGAGGTGCCACTATACATCCCCAAAGAGTTTTTTTGTTTGGTTAGAATATGTTTCTCTAAAAACCATGTGAATGCTGTTTCATTATCCAGTTTTTCCATATTGAGGGTAAAAAGGCCTATGCCTTTTTTTTTTTTTCTAAGTAACTTGTTTTTTTTCTGGAAGCATCTAAGATTTTTCTTTTTATTCTTGGAGTTCAAAGCTTTCGGTGGGATATCTTTTCTGGCCTACCTAATCTATAATTTGGTAGGTATTTCCAGTTTACACACTCAGGTTGAACTGAATTACTTTAGCTTGAGGAACTTCAATTACATATTAGTTTAGTAGTTATCTTTCTTCCATAAACTTATAGTGGTTATACAATAAGACTTCTGCAGCCATCTTGCCATCCAAGTGTCTTTTGTTTCTCTCAAGATTCTCTGCTCTCGTTTTATGAATAATTTATTGAGCTATAACTTACATAAAAGGTACCTTTTTCTGTGAATTTTAGCAAAAAAGTTAACATACAAATATTTTTACAATCAAATATAGAACATTTACATCTACCCCAAAGTTTCTTCCCCTTCTGAGCCCTTGACAACTTCTAATTTGTTTTTAGTCCATTTGGTTTTGCCTTTTGCAGAATACAATTATAAATATAGTCATACAGACTTTTGGGCCTGGCTTCTTTCACTTAGAATAACTTCATTTATGAGATTTGCTTTCGTATGTATCAGTAAATTTGTTCCTTTTTTTAAATCACTGCTTGTTGTTACTCTGTGTGAATGTAACCACAGTTTTTCTATTCATCAGTTAATGGATACTTAGGTTTGCATTAGCCAGCTTCCAATATGGCTCCTACATATTGGCACCAGTGATGCCTTCCAATATTCAGTAAGCACCAGTGATGCCTTTCAGTGTTCAGGCACTTTTTTGTAATGCTCTCCCACATTGTGACAGGCAGAGTATGACAAAAGTGGAAGTATGTAATTTCTGAGACTAGGTTATGAAAGACATTATAGCTCTACTTGCTTTTGATTGGATCACTATGGGGATAAGCAACCATTGTGATTTGAGGAAAAAAGTGGTCCAATGGGAAGGTTTAGTGAGGAACCATGGCCTCCGATCAATAACCAATGATGAGCTGAGTCTTTTTGTTAATAACAATAAGCTGTCTTAGAATGCATCTCTGTCTCCAGTTGAACCTTCATAGAGGTTTAACTTGATATGACTAGCCATTTTGAACTTTTAATTGCTAAAAATTGTCCCTCAGTAAACCTGGCTGGTTTTCCTTGTATAGTTTCCCAGCAAACAATAAATAAAACCATTAAAGTACTATCTAGGTTGTTAGGACCCAGATCTATGTGTCATCAATGCCAAGAATGTGCCTGACATCTTTGTTATTAGATTGAGATAAACCAGGTACTTTACAGTTTGAATGAAGTCACTTTTGTCCCAATTGTCATATAAGCCCTTTTTACCTTAAATTGTGGTGATCTACCTGTTTTATTGCTGTCCTAAACATGATGCTTCTGCACATGAGTACCAAAGAAACTACCTTCTGTACAATGCTGGACTCTTTCTTTGTTCGGTATAACATTACCCCGTGACTGGCACATGCATACTCATGTCCAGCCTTATCCTTACTAATTTTTCTGCCTGATGGATTAATCAATGACTGATAGAGAGGTGTTGACATCCTCAATTATAACATGACTTGTCTATTTTATACACTTATATTGGGTTATTTTTCCTCAGGTACCTTGATAGTCTGGGTTTTTTTTTTTTTTTTTTGGTTTTGTTTTGTTGTCTCAAAATTGTATTTATTTATTTATTTTTGGTGATCTTTTCTTTTTTTATTTTCCATAATTTTATTGAGAAACAAATAGCAATGAGACAGTTTCAAATCAAATTGGTAGGACAGTTTCAATAATTAGCACATTGCATACTCTCTTCTTAGTGGTTATTTGCTGTACAAGATGCAGACATGATATCCTGTTTACAAACACTTATTAGAACAAATCCTTCTATTCATTAAGAGAATGTAACTATATATCCTAACCATTTTGAATACACAGATACAAAATGGACATTCATCTGTATCCCCTTTTTTGTTTAGTTCTGTCTTTTGAATATTATAAGTGTGTTAACTCAGCAAAATATTCTAAAAGAGTCCATTAGTCCATAATAGTATTGGGTCTTCCGCTTGACTGGTAGTGTCAGAAATTATTGACCTGAGTGCGCTACAGCTCAACATAACAGCATGGCTTTACTTCTTATACTTCATTTTTATACTTTTCTGCTGGATGGTTAAGACCAAGGTAAAGCAAGACCTGTGTAACAAGAGTTGTAGCTTTTGGGTCTGATAAGGTCAGTGAAATCCCCTCAGGATTTATGCTGAGATCCTGTACCTCAGATTGTAGATCCTTTGTCTGTGAATAGTCTGTTGTTAAGTGCATATATACTTAGGATTATTGTATCTTCTTGGAGAATTGATACCATTAGATAATGCCCTTTTTAGTCCCTGATAACTTTCTTTTCTTAAAAATTTTTCTTTGTCTGAAATTAAAATAGTTACTTCGGCTTCTTTTGATTAGTGATAGGTCTTCATCTCTTTACTTTTAAACTATCTCTGTCTATATGTAAAATAGTTTGCGGTAGAAAACTTAAAGTTGTGCCTTGTTTTTAAAATCCACTGTCTTTTAATCCTCTCTGAAAATTTTCTTTTTAATATTTTACAAGGCAGGTCTACTAGTGATAGATTTCTCCAAATTTCGTATGTCTGAAAAAGTCTTTGTTTTCTTTTCCATTTTCAGGAAAAAATTTTATGTCTTTCCCTGCCCCCTTCCTTATTGAATACAAGGCCTTCTCACTGAGCTACCTCCCAAGTTCTTATGTATTTTGAATTTTGAAAAAAGTTGCTCATGCTGGGCTAAAACTTGCAGTCTTTATAGATGTGCACCACAATGCTTAGATTTTGTTTCATTATACCATTTCAGGTATTTTACAGTCTTACTGCTTTCTGAAGAAAAATCTAATTTGTATCCTTCTTGTATGTAAGGAGTTCTGTTTTGCAATTTTTTTTTTTTTTTTTTTTTTTTTTTTTAGTACATAAAATACATACAGGTTTTTAAGGCAGGATTTGAACTCACTGTGTAGCCCAGGCAGCGATCCTTCTGCCTCAGCTTCCTGAGTTCTGGGATTATTGGCATGTACCACTGCACCTAGTTTTTCTTTGTTTTTGATTTTTTGGCAGTTTGATATGATAGTTAGGTATAGTTTGGTATTTATCATGTTTGATATTCTCTGAGCTTCTTGGATCTATGGTTTGGTGTCTTGTCATTAAGCTTAGGAGTCTCGCTCTTTATTTGTATTATGAGTTTCACATATAAGAGAAACTGTACAATATTTAAACTTGTATGTCTGATTTGTTTCACTTATCATAAATGGTGCATCCATTTATCTATAGATGATTTGAATTTATCCTTTTTTATGAATGATTAGTGCTACCTTAATGAAAATAGCACATTATCTTTATCCATTCATCTCTTGATGGACATGTAAGCTACTTCCAAGACTTAATATTAATTGTGCTGCCATAAACATAGGTGTATATGTATCACTGTAATATAATGACTTAAATTTGTTTAAGGAAGATTACTAGAAGAGAATACCTGGGTCAAATGGAATTTTTTTGTTTTAGTTTTTGAGAGCTATCCATATTGATCTCCATGGTAGTTGTGCTGCTTTACATTCCCACAAATAATGTAGAAAGGTTCCTTTCTCCCTGCAGCCTTACCAATACTTATTCTTATTTAATTTCTTGATGAAAGCTATTCTTTCTGGAGATGGAATCTCAAAAGGTTTTAATGTACATTTCTCTAATAGCCAGTGATGCTGAACATTTTTCATGTATGTATTGGCTATTTATGCTGCTTCTGAGAAGTGTGTATTCATTTTGGATGACCATTTTTTGATTGGGTTTTTATTTTAGGGAGTCTTAATTGCTTTGAGTTCTCTATACATTCTAGATGTTAGAATGTACTATTCCTCTGTTTGAGGAATAGTTGCCAAATATTTTTTCCCATTCTGTAGGTTGTCTCTTCTCTCTGCTTATTGTTTCCTATGATATGCAGAGCTTTTTAATATGATAGGATCACATTTGTTGATTAACTGTATCTTGTGCCATTGAAGTTCTGTTCAGAAACTCCTTTCCTACATATGTCAAAAGTTTTAGGGGCTGGGGAGATAGCTTGGTGGTCTAAGTGCCTACCCAGAAAGCTCAAGGACCTGTGTTCAATCCCCAGTGCCAGATGCTGTGCTGGCCCTGGAACCATAGGTGTGTAGTGTGGACCACCCAGGCGTGGTGGCACACACCTATTATCTTTGTGCTGGGGAGGCTGAACAGGAGGATGACTACGGGTACGAACTGTGTAGTGAGATCTTGTAGGAAATAAATAAAAAAATATTTTTAAAAAATTTACAAAAGATATATTCCACCAGATTAAATGTTTCTGTTTTAATACTTACATCTTTGTTACTTA